TATGTTACATATTCCAAAGCCTTTTATTTTCTTCAGTCAGTCTTTATTGGTATACATCTTCAATTAAACTTATGTAAGTGGTAAGATAACTTTACACTTTGCTAGGATTTCTCATCAATCGCTGTTCACCAACGGAGATGCTGACATATGGACATACATAACTTGCATTACACCATGTACCATGCACATTGCATTTTCACAGACACATATGACTTCTACACTACACCAAGTACCATGCACACTCTTTTTTGAAGTAGGTACCAAGTGAACAGCAGCAAAATCACATATGTCCAGGACAATTATAAGCATATGCAAAATGTCCGTCAACCCTTGGCTTGTGTGCAGGTAACACTGATGGCCAGACATCAGATTTTTATACCCTAAAAACTGACAAAATATGCATGCATCTATGCTCTAAAAATAAAAAAAAAAACTCTTAAAATGCATTCCAGTATAAGACATGTACCTACGTAATGCTCATACTAAGTTGCTGATGATCTCATCCATAGATTCTCATCTTTGATTTTCTTCCCGGCTATAATTTGCCTTTTAGTATGTCACATATTATGCTTTCATATATTCAGGTGGAAGTTTGTAGTCCTTATCTGCCATGATAAATTTGTAGGTAGAGAAAGATCTGTTCACAACTATAACATCTGGCAATATATCCTCTGAAAGATCTAAGCTCTCTTTCTGCAAACATTTCTTCACAGCAGTGACAGCCTTATATCCTGGATTTATTTGCAGTATGTCACACAGTTTTAATGAATACTATGAATATTTTTAAAACGACTTCATTCCTGTTTGTTCTTCTTCAGTGACATCCAAAACATTTACAGATGTGCCAAATGTTTCTAGCTTCTTTACTGGTATAATTAATTTTGATATGTGCCTTAATTACAACTACATTTTTCCGGATTGTTTTATTATAAAATGTGACCTTAGTCTGCTGGACGGACATATCATTGGAGTTCAAACCACCAACAAATGGCTTTATATCATATAAAAAACAGAATAAAATAGTGCAGCATTAATCTACATTCTCCATTACAAGGGGATGAGTTGTGGAAGTAGTAAGACATCTGCTACTACAGTTGTGTACATCTCAATCCATAGAGAGGCATTTACAAACCCTTTTCACATGCTTGATATTAAATTATTCTCTTATGGCAAATTTCACCGAGTTTTCATCTCTATTGTTATCAGCAGCCACATCCAACACATAAGCAGCAGTTCCTGATAAAACTTAAAACTAAAACTTATCCTCATTCTATCCTTCAGGCCACAAGGCATGAAGGAAATCATTTCCAAAATAAGTAACTAGACTAATTTGTTCTATCTACGACCTTGTTTGCAATTAAACACGGTGTTCCCAGTTCATGAACTATATTAAAAAAAAAAACACCCTTCAAGGGCTTTCTTATGATCAGTTCTTGTGGGATATTACACTTAAACTTGTACAGACACAATTGAAAGTTCTTACTGTTCAGCTCACAGCACCACATTTTCTAGCGATTATTGTTATCACGTAAATTATAAAAACCAGAGTACTGCTTCTGGAAGAAGACTGAACTTCCTGTATTAATAACGTTTGTTTAGCAGTACAGAATACTCGAGTCATTTTATTAATGCGATACTGGCATATGTTTCAGTTGTTACAGAATTTGTTTCCTTCACGGTTTACAAAATATGACTTCACCATCCTACTATATCCTCATCATTATCAATCTACTGCACATTAATAAAAATAATAATAGCACCAAAAAATATGTATCCCAGATCTGCAATGGAACTTCTTCATACCACAGCATGTTATTGGCATGACACAGATGACAAGTGCAGAGGGAAACAATACCACAGTGACACACATAAGAAATTATTCTTGTTGCTTGAATGAGCCAACACAACAGAACTGCATATGCAGCTGTGAGCATGCTGTGAACTAAATTTTCAGCCATTGTCTCCTTCTTTGTAATCAAAAAATGCATTGTAGTATTGCATAAAGGCCATTATAATAAGATAAATAATGATTAATATTTGTTACAATTACATTGAGCACAGCATTATAAAACATATATGAACTGAACACAGATAAAATATGCAACAAACAAAACATGTCCCCCAATTCCTTAATTATGCAAAAAAGGTGTTCACATACAAGGAAGCTAAAACATAAAGTAAAAAGTAAAGCTATCTCTGTACCAGGCCGTGAAGGCCCATAGGGTTGTGAGACGTTGAGGGTCCCACATTATCTAGACAATTGGCTCAAAGATGGCAGTAAGGTTGTCAGCATTACGTGCTGAAATTTATTTAATTAATTCCTCATATCTGTTAGAGGCTGAGTGAAACCCAGGGCCATAGTTCGGCTGGAAGGATTAGGGCAATTGAAAACAAAATCCAATGACCTCATCAGGACTTGAACCTGCGACCTTCCGGCTTGTAGCATACCTAAAACATATACTTGCAAAAAATCTGATGTCTACCAATGACTGATGATTTTATTTAGTGTAAAATGAATGATACCGGCGGCTTATTTAATCAGTTACAGATGTGAGAATGGACTGCAATTACAAAGATTTCAAAAAAGATATCCTTATGAGGAGGCGCATAAAATACATGCTAGAACCACTGTACAGTAAAATAGAACCTATAGGTCCTATAGTATAGGATATATAAAAAAGTCTGTAACATGAAGATGGTGCCATTAAAAGAGAGGAAGAAGTTCTAATACACAACTGTGGGAATATTCCATCATGAAATGTAGATTGTTCACTGAATGCACGTACAATGACTCCAAAAAGTTCAGCCAATACAAACACTGGATGAGGACAACGCAAGTATGTGCTGCAATTATGTACCAATAGACATCTGTGTAAAGCTATCCCTTTAACATTTGGTGACAATCGGCTCATAGATGGCAGTAAGGTTGTCAGCCTTATGCACCGGCCGCCCTTTACCCCACAGGAGGATTCCTGGTACTCATTCTGTTAAAGGCTGAGTCAACCCCAGGGCCACAGTGCAGCTAGAAGGATTATTGAAGGTAAATTGAAAAAAGTTCTTGCACATTTAATTAAGGACAACAAATGGAATATAGATACAATTAGAAAGTTTATGTTAAGCATGTAAATAGAAACATCGTAACTACAAGGTGATTATACTGTATTGCTGTTTAGTAGATTTGTAACTGGAAATGCAGATGTGTGATTAATAACATTAATTTAAACAAATAGGAAACATGAATCAGCAGGACAGGCATTGAAAAATCTACCTACCACAGTTTACTGAAGAAAAGCTGGAGAGAAAAAAAAACGAAAGAAAAAGAAAATAATTATTTACTGAGCTATCAAATATTTGGCAGATTATGTAATTCCACTATAAATTGATGAATTAAAATAATTTAGAATTTGTAGGTTTTGAACTCTACAACTTCTTGTATAATTTCTCGTTAACTTTTCTATCAGCACTGCCTCATGAGTGTTCCTTTCTCTACCTTTTAAATTCAAACCTCTTCTTTTTAAGTCCTATGCAGCTTCCTTCTTTCCTCAATTTTCACCAGGCATGTAAGATTTTTCTACAATTCTCCATTCCCAAGTACCAGCTAGATTACTTCATTACTAATAGCTACTTTGTTCCATCATTCATATCGAACTGTGTATGTATATGCTCTACTCTGTTCTAACCAGTGACATCTTCCAACCAATAAAATTATTCAAACATTCAGTGCAAATAACAGTTCTCTTTCCTTCAAACCTATGCCATGTCCAAGATCGTTACTGCAACTCCTACATCCTTTGTTGTATTTTGACATAAAAATTCATTACAATTTCCATTAACCAAACAAAATTATCTTATTATGAAGAAAGCAGTTTTCTGGGATGTGGCACCGTGTAGATATGGTGTTAGCCGACGTTTCGGAGGAACGTATCGCCTCCATCTTCAGGGTAGAAGGAAAAATAAGAAATCCGCAAGCGAAGAGACCACAAGAACTAGTACAAGCAGTCCTCCGAAACGTTGGTTAACACCACATCTACATGGTGGCACATCCCAGAAGACTGCTTTCTTCATAGTCACCGCTGTGAAAACTTCAAATCTTGCATATCTTATTATGGTTTTCCATTTTAAACTCAAAGAATTCTCCTTGTATTTTAAATGTACATATACTTAAAGAGATACACTCAGTTTCTCACCCATGTTGGTCTAGCTCTTCAGTATTTGCACAATACTGAAGTGAGCTGTGTCACTAACATTCTGAGGAACATGTTGACTCCATCTTATTCAGGGTCAAAGCAAACAGTATGAATGAGACTTCATATCACATAGATCGGCAAGCCAACAGGCTCACTGGTTTGGTGGTGGTGGTGGTGGTCTTAGTAAGAGCCAATTCCATATTCACTATCCCTATTTGCCAAGACCAAGACCTTGCCCCCCTCAGGTAGCAGGATATGATGGGCTGCCAACTCACTCACACTACTCACTTTAACCCTCAAGATGGAGACTGTACGTTCTTTAGAAATGTTGGCAATACAGTCTATCTTCACAGAATCCAAATACCGAAAAGCAGGATCAGCATCAACAATTAACCATGATGAGAGCCTCAAATCCATAAATACTTAATTTCTTTTCTTTACAGTGGTTCTTTTTGACAATGCATAATCTAGTCAGTCTATAAACTTGATGGAAGCAACTGCATATTTACAAATGGCCTCATGGAGATACAGGGGATTAGATAATCAAATTATGCACGTATTCTGAAATGTATGCACACTAACGTCAGTAATGGTCAAAATGCTGTACTGTGTGCACAGAAGAACAAGGACTAAGGACATAAAATCAGAAAATATTATTTACTAAGGACAGCACACAGTAACTATAGGCAAAGCCCACCTGGAATTATTTAACAAGAATACCATAAAACAAAAGGGTGATATTGTTATAATCATTCCAATATTTTTGTGAACATAATTTCATCCCATGCAGTAAAAACTTGGATCACAGCTTACCTGGGTAGCCTTCTGTGGAATCATAGTAGTCCCCAGTTCCCTCTTCATAGTCCTCATAACTGCCATACCTGGTGACCAGAATAAATCATACTCTTAACAAAGGGCTGTATGTTCTCTTACTCCAAGAATTCCATATGACACTTTCAGTTTCAACCCAAAGAGCAAAGAATACTATATTCAGAATTTGCTTCAGGCATCACGTATTGGAAAAAACATTTCCAGCATTGTGGTAGTGACATTTTTTTTTTAAAAAATAACATATATTCTTGCAAGAAAAAAGTCCACTTGTAGTCATGTGTGGGACCTTAAGGGTGGGCAGCAGATATGACAATATGAGTGAAGAAATATGGACCACACATAAACAAATGAAAAGTATGTGTTAAAACATGGTATTTTAACAAGTTTCTACTGATTCAGCTGATTCAGATACAAGTGCTGATTATGACAATCTGACAAGATGTGTATAGCAAATGAGTGAGCATCCTTCAACTTCATCATACACATACAGTTCCCTTGCAGATCGACATACTTGGACGAATATAAGCATTATTTCTGAAGTATATACCATATAAATTCCACACCATGGATGATACCTTTACCTGAATATCTGCATTTCCAAGTAACTACCAACTAAAAGCTCCGTCAAACTTAGGAAACAGGTTGACAGGGAATGGCTGTTCCAGAAGTTCAGTTCTGTTCCCAAACTGTAGCCTCTAATTCCAAGAAACACCCTGAGATTGGCTGGTATAGCTCAGTCAGCAAAGACACTGTTTACAGGCTGCATGACCAGGGCTTGATTAATACCAAACGCATGCCTCACCAATGCATCCAGACCAGTTAACGCGTCCACCTAGGCTATACCCAAGGGCTTTTCCATGTGGATGAAGTGACCAAAGCACAATTCTAATCACTTATCTGTACTATGGTTAAAATAAACATAGTTTTACCTCCACTTACCCATACAACTTCATAACACAGTGCTAAAGCACACTGAGAGCTTTATGGTTTACCTTTTATTGTGTATCTGCATGCGTGGGGGGGGGGGCGGTGATTGGATGAGAGAGAATGGTCAGCGAGGTAACTCATTATAGAATGCAGTTGGGCCCATTTCTGAGTGAAAATTATTTTCTGCATACAGCTTCAAAACTGGGATGCTCATATTAAATGGACACCCGTGGAAACATGTAACATTTGGTGCTGGGCGTTGTAGAATTGGTGGAAATTTCCACCATGGCACCACCACAATGTCATAAGGACAAACAGAACTTAAACTTGGGTTTTAGTTTTATTCACCCAGTCCATACACATTCTGAATTCAATTAATCAGCACTGTGGAACAGATACATACCCTGTGGCATTGTAGGAGTCATAGGCCGAGGACTCATAGAAGCCACCAGCACCTCCACCACCCATGTCATCCTCACAACCATAGGATTCCTCCATGGCAACTCTAGCCCTGTCCAGGATGCTCAGGACCTTTGTCTTTGTGGGTGTTGGTCTGGGCAGCAGAGCTTGTGGAGGGTGAAGGGGTTTCCTGATGCCAGCATGGCCCCCTCTAGGAGGCAGAACACCTTGTGGTGGTGTGAGGAGACCTCTGCCTCCTCCGCGGAGAGGTGGCAGCCCACCCCTCAATCCCCCTGCTGCTCCACGAATGGCAATCCCACCACCACGTCCTCGAAGTCCTCCACGGACAGGTTTTCGAACACCCGAAGGTGGAGTTCCGTTGTTGGATCCGGCTGCCCCAGGCTCCCCAGTAACTGTTTGTATTAGCTCCATCTCACGCATCTGTTCTTGACGGATTTCATCATTTGAATCAGGAATCAGGTACTTGCGTACTTCAGCGAGAGCATATGCAATTCTAGCATGTGCCTCAGCTGGTGGAGCAAATGCAGCTATTTCTACATGTAAGTCATCACTCAGGTGAGCATATTTTGGGTCCAGAGATGCACGAAGCTCTTCTTCCTGAAACAAGAACAATAAAGAACACTAAGAATTTACAAGAACTGTTCTATATGACTACAACAGAAGTTTATTACTGTAAGAAAATGGCTGATATATTTTCAGAAGCATACAGAATTAACCTACATATTTTCAAAAACTGTATATTATTCTTACAATAGGCAGTGTGTCAATAACAATAATACTGAACAGAGCAACAAGCATACTTCATGCACACCTTAATACTAATACACTACAATGTAACCTTGAGAAAGGCTTTGCACTGCATACCTGAGTGTAGGGTGACAAATCTTTGTCACTTCTGATCCAGACATATAGTATAACAATTACAAAAGTGCTTATAACAATAACATAAACACACTAACAACATAAATAAAATAGGATGACCACAAGCTTATCAATCTAAGTTTCAATTAACAAAAAGTATGTAAATAGACCCTAAAACTTAATGCTAACGGTTCTCTGAACAAAATACATAAACTCACCAGCCATTAACATATTATATATTTGACAGTATTCAATAAATGGGTTTTAACACAATTTGGCATTAGGAATCTACACTAAAATTGCTGACACAATTTTATTTTCACCTGTACTTGTCTAATGTTAAGCCTCTTGAAGTCTATATGAAACTTTGTCTATATCATAAAAAATGGCGTTCACCGATATATATAAATTTATATTTAAACTCTTAACAATGTGATGCATATTTAATGATATAAGAAACAATACTTTGTTTCAATGCAGTGTCTATGTTGGTACTGTTGAATGTATTTGCATGTCTGTAAAGTTGATTTGTATGTTATTTAATTGGGCTGAGTATGCAATCTACACAATGTTAAAATTGTGATTTTTACTATATGTCTCCTATGGATCTGTTAAGAGGGCACACTTCATTGTTTTATGTTTATGTGCTACATCTCTTTGTCTTTAACAGAAAGGTATTTGAAAATATGATTTTTGGACAAAAGGGGGATGTCCTTTTCCTATGGGGATACAATTCTGATTCATTTCTGTTACACTGTATGCTAAATTTATTAAGAAATATTACATTAAAATACCATTTGTTTTTAACCTTTCAAATTGTTCCTGTTAGAATTATGTGTACGATGTATTATCACCAACTATTATGTTATACTTTCTCATAGTTTTTATTTTGAAAACTTTATTTTAACTCCTGGGCACGTTTGGTGGTATAAAACTGACAACTAAAAACTCATTAAAACATAACTTTTAAAACATTAACATTTTAAATACATATGTTCATCCTCAATTCACAACAAGGAGTTCTGACCTGAACTAGTGAAAGTACACAACAGATTTCAAAATGATTCAAATTTCCAGTACTTCATCAGTTACAGCCATCAAACTAAATGTGAAAGAAATTCTTTTACAAGATGGCCATGTTACCACACATTCTATTTAAAGAAGCTCAGTACAGTATGGAAACTGGAGAGCTGGTTCAAAAGATAAAATGGGATGGCATACACAAAGGATAGTAACCTCACAAGCTTACTCCCTTTTCCATAAGGAAGGAATATAGTCTTTATATTTAGAGGTTTGAGAAAATAAAAATAAATCCACAAAAATAATATGTAGGGTGGACTACCTAAGTTTATGCAGTACTTTTCTTTACAACAAGTATTTATACAGTTAGAAACAATGCAGGAGCTTAAGAGGTACCTCTTTTAAAAGATGAACGTCTATAGACTGTCACATGAGATACTAAAGACAACAATTTAATAACTTTGTACCTTACCAGGCCCCTTTTAGACAGTGAATCAACTCCATCATCTCGAGAGAAATCTGACGAGGCGACACGGGAAAGCGTAATCAGTAACGGCACCACCACAAGCACAGTATTACAGACTCACTTCCAAAAGTTGTTACCTTGCTGCCACATAACTACACACAGTCTCGTAACCCATTCATTACAATTTACAATCCCCTTCTGGTCACAATCATGGACCGCAAACCAGGGTCATCACTGTGTTCTCAGGTAAAGGTAAAGTTATCTCCGTACTTAATTAATTAAGAACTACGCCCTGAACACTATGGAGTGAGGGCACAGATCCCCTATTCTTAACCTTGGCACCAGAATCAGGTAAGTGTTCAGTTTCATGGCCCAGGGCAGGTCTGGATATTATGAAGACAAAAATTTCTTAATCCTACCAAGAATAAAACCCTGGCTCCTCGGTCGCCCAGCCTGCAGCCCAGCCGCTACACAGACTGAGCTAAATTTGAATACATCACTGCGGTGGACAGGTTGGAATATGACTGACCAATCCTTCTTTCGTAACTACATGACATCAAAAATGCAGTTTGTTTATTACTTTTCCGAAGAAACAGATATGGAATCCTTGCAATACAGAACAGTAAAGACATACAAAAAATTACGTATTGGGGTTACCTTGTGGAGTTATGCATACGAATACCGGACTGCTAACATCGAGGGGAGCTTGAGACTCGGCTAGTCTAACTAGGCTTCCATGGACTTCCTCCTAGATTAAACGATGGATCCCAAATTCCACGCCGCACCACCATGCTTCTTAAGCAGCCCTCCAAATAATAGGTAGTTATATCTGGGCTTAAATTAAACACCAGGCCACGAAGACGTATGGGTTAGTGGAGGTAAAACTCCACCGTTCTTATCCTAGGCTATAAGTGAAGTTGAGTAGTAAGCTTCAATCTCCGGCCGCTTTATCACCGGAAAGAAACGTTTTGGTACCGACTGTACAGGAGGCTGAGTAGGCCCCAGAGCTTGTCTGGAAATTATGGAGAACTGAAAAAGATTTATTTCCTTCTCTAGAATCAAACCCCGAGTCCTCCGACGTCCAGTGCGTAACGTAGTAGCTATACCAATTGCTAGCCGTGCCAAAATTCCGCTCAATCGAAGTGAAGACTGTACTCAACTTTTTTCTCTGTTGCATAACCACAGGACCGGCCACTTCTCAACCTGTACCTCCTTTGCTATCGCCTTTTACCAGGTGGTAACTTGGAAACCCCCTGAACCTAATATTTTTTATCATTCACCCGTTCACCCCGTAACAAATGTTGTGCCTATTCCTGCTCACAAATCATCTCGTTCTATATCTCTCGAAATCCCTACCTGTCTCTGTTTGTCCTTTTTTATCCAGAACACATTTCACCCGCTATCTTACACTGACTAATCTCACTATATCTGAAGCACGTAGGTTGCGTTCAGTGTAGTCACAACATGGACTCTGAATATTTACAGAAGAGTGTGGTAATATAATTAAAGTGGCAGGGATTACAGCTGGTTCGAATTCCCGAAAGTTGCAAACACTAATCCTACAGTCATAGTTAGCAGGTGTCCACGGTCGGTCATTACAAGGCTCCGGCTACATCGTGGTGGCCACACCATATGGAGCAATTATACAGAGTCCCAACACACCCCCGCCACCCCATCTTGTGCCTCACTGCGAACAGCCACAAAGGATCTCTATACAAACAGGAAGAATGTAAATACAAATTCAGCCAAATTGTTGGCACATTATTAAAAAAAAACAATTCTACGGAACTTATGCATTCCTCTAGGGGGGTTCGTTACAGAAACATGCAAATTTTCCTTACGTTTAGGACATATTTTACACAAGAGAAGTCTTATCGTCTCAGTTCGTTAGCAGACAACAGAGCTTCTATCAGGATCTAGAAGCCTGTACCTCAACATGTCATTACATAACGTTTTAACCACAAGCTCTGGCTTAATATGTTCGACCTCCAAATATTTTAGATGCCTTTCACGAGACAGAAGTGCAATTATAATCTGCCACTGGCTCAGAACTGTTATTCATTGAATTATAATACATAACTTGAATCTGAAAATATTTTGTATTGATTTAAACCAAACACATTATAAAAAGATCCACGTTCAAAAACATTGTTCTGGAAGATGCTGGTATCACCAATACTACTTTCATAAACAGCTATTAGTATCGTCCTGGCCACTTTTATCTACTCGTTCTGAGGAACTCTTAAAAATTCTAATTTAAATGACTCAAAAGTAAGTATGAAACGCTCCAGTCAATTGCGCGTCCCTGTCTCCGTAACATGCACGAACAATATTCGTGGCACCGGGTTGCGTAGTTGGCTGAGACGCTATGATACGAGCCGGAGGATCGCAGGTTCGAATCCCGATGAGGTGATTTTTTTTTCAATTTACCTAATCCTTCTAGCCGCACTATGACCCTGGGATAGATTCAGCCTGTAACAGAAATGAGCATCAGGAATCTTCCTGGGGGGTAAAGGGCGGCCGGCGCGTAAGGCTGACCTCACCGCCATCTGTGAGCCGACTGTCTATAAAATGTGGGAGCCTCAACATCTAACAACCCTACGGTCCACCACGGCCTCTTAACAGGGATACCTTTACTTACGTCCAGTATTCTGTAACGCGTTCTATTCATTTCAGGAATTAAAAAAGCTCCGAAATCAATTACTATAACACATAATCCCGCGTGGGTAATGCAGAAGATTCCATCGAATCAATGGATTTCTCGAAAAAAGAAAATGCATGTTACTGTTTTAAATTTCATAAAACCATCTAACGGCCGTATTCCAGCCACACCCAACTACAAACCCACCAGAAGACGAAGATGCACTCACCCACCACCTAGAAGAGCCGCATCAGCTCGAACTCCCCCCCATCCGCTTTCGCAAATCAGAAGTCAACTCCATCATCAAAGGCCTCAAGTCCTCTACCTCCCCAGGATACGACCTTATCACGGGGAAAATGCTAAAAGAACTACCTCCTGTTGGAATACAGTATCTCACCCAAATCTTTAACGCCTCTCTCCTCACTGGCTACTTCCCCGCTCAGTGGAAAGTAGCAAAGATCATCCTTCTCCTAAAACCGGGGAAACCCCCTAACGAACTCACCTCCTATCGACCAATTAGCCTATTACCCATCCTATCCAAAGTCTATGAGAAACTTCTCCTAAGTCGCCTCCTTCCAATAGTCGAAACAAACAGCTTGCTACCTAACC